CTGTTGGGAAAGAACCAGTGTTCATGCAGGTCATCTAGTGTTCTCCAAGCTAAGTCTTCATTGGGATGCCCTTGTGCTTGCACTGTTTTGAAAATCAATTTTTAACTTGGACATTGATCAATGTTCTCACACTTTTCAGCCATACATACTTGGACATTCATCAATGTTCTGACACTTCTCAGCCATTGATATTTTAGAGTCATAAGGTTAATCGGAAGCAGAAAAGATGAAAAATATGCAACCGCCTTCGCCGGGAATCGAACCACGGACCTCTGGAATACCGGCCCAGCGTGCTACCGTTACACTATGAAGGCACGCTAGGAAAGTGGGAGAAATACCTTATATACTCCCCTTTTTAAAGGGCGACTAGGGTTTTAGGGGACATAGTCGCCAAATCCTGGGTGCGGAGAATCATCATCCACAATCCTTTTAGTTCGGGCGTCACTTGTAGAGTCATTAGGTTAATTGGAAGCAGAAAAGATGAAAAATATGCAACCTCCTTCGCCGGGAATCGAACCACGGACCTCTGGAATACCGGCACAGCGTGCTACCGTTACACTACGAAGGCACGCTAGGGAAGTGGGAGAAATACCTTATAATATAAAAGAAAGGATATATATGTTATCGCATATACGCACAACAAAAAGGAAACATCGACTTAGCATATTTAGAAATTTCTGTGCCTTCAGACTGGGGCACACAGAATTTCTTAACAGCGTCCAAAACCTTTTAAAAATTATCTAAACTAGAATATGCATACTGCCGTCACCCCATCAATTCACAAAAATAAAAGTAAAAAATATCCTTCGCAGTGGCGCACTGCTGGTGGCATTTCTTGCATGAGCCTTTCTTGCGATAAACGCGTTCAAAGCCATCTGAACGATCTTTACGTTCGAAAATACGCATTTCCTTTCTTACAAACAGGACACTTATAATGACTACTAGTAAACCCTCATTTACACACCAATCAGTTAGTGCTTTTCCACCTTTTCGTTCCGTATCGTACAGAAACTTCCCATTAATCGCATAATATACAGCCGTTTTACGGTGTACGGCACAAAATAAGCAACATAATTCCTAACTAACATCCAATGCAGAAATAAGCTCTTACAAATATTTTCCCATCAGTTAAATTCACCGCTATCAAGCAACCAGTCACGTCACGTCATAATAGGGTTTCCAAAACACTGAACTACTAAGGCTGTCGTAAATGAAGCAATAATTAGACGCTAAATGAAATAAAAACTTCGCGATAATCCAAGGGCACCCTAAAGCATAGGTGATGCACTAAGGGGCACCCTAAAGCATAGACCAGCCTTCGAATGTTCGAGGAAGATGCACGCAAAAAATGTTAACCTTTTTCAAAAATGTGATCTTGAAATTTCAGGTAATGCAGTCAAAAACAGAATTTATTAGTATTTTTTCTAATATCTTTTAGTTAATCATAATGATTCTTAACAAGAATTAATTTTGAAAGCTCAAACTAAGAGTTTTTAAATCTTTCAATCGATCTGAAACATTTCGTTGCAAATATATTTTTTCTTCTTGTTGAGCGGTGTTCGATACACTGGGGGAGTCTAGGCTGACACCTTACTCCAAACAGAACATAGCTGAAAGTTTCGAAATATTTTAGAAAGTAACTTATTTGAGATATAGTATTTTTTTTTAATTTAAATTTTGAAGATTCACACACTACAAATTCAAGCTTCAAATCTGTCTAACTGAATTTATGTTATCAAGGTAATTTTGAATCAATAGGTCACAAGTGGTGAACAAATACGTACAATACACACAAGCTATAAATATAAATATACATAAATAGAAACAAAATACCGAATAACATGAAAAAGTAAATACAAAAATCAGACTTCCATGATTACATTTGGATTGAGAATGAACATTAGCCTTTTTTTTATTTAGTATCGTTCTTATAATCGTAATTATAAATTCTGAGTTCAGAGTTACTTATAGTACGTAAACGAATGTGAAACTGTCTGGCCAGGTGGTAGTAAAACCTTCTCAGTGGAATTATGCCTAGTTCCGCATGAATTGCATTCTTTCTAATATAGTACGGTGCCGTTTGTAATTTGCCACAGAACAACATTCTGGGCAGTTTGCAGTTTTTTACCTAGAGTTTTACATAAGTACGCCCAGCCTGGAGAAGCGTAACAGAGCATGGGACACAGAATGGATTTATCAATGAGTAACTTATTATAGAACGTTGCTTCAGGCAATTAAGGGGTTGAGTTTAGCTTTACGAACCCGAAACGTTTGAATAATAGAGTGTATGTGGGGACCTAGGAGAGAATATGTGAGGATCACCCCAAGATAAGTGACTTGCTTAGCCCAGGGCAGTGTGAGGTTCCATAAAACTGCATGTTTTGTTCAATTTTTCTCTTCTTAGTGAAGACTATGGTAATTGTTTTTTCAACGTTGACTTGAATTTTCCTTTTCAGTAGCCAGGCCTTTAGTACATGTATGTGATTTTGAAGATATTGTATGACTGGGCTAAGAAATGCATTTTGAGCAAGGATCGCTGTGTCGTCAGCATCATTGCTAGTGTAGTGTATGTGTGGTGGGTATATCGTTCATATAAATATAAAAAAGTGTAGGCCCTAGTTGCGACCTCTGGGGGACGCCAGCTGAAACCAGACGTTTAGTGTAAGAAATTATTAAGAGTAAGTATTAGAAAGGTGAGCGACAAAACGTCTACCTGTTAGGTAGGATTTAATTATATGTATAATGTAATCTGGAAAGCCCAGTTTGTAGATTTTGTATATTAGTGTTTCCATACAGACATGGTCGAAAGCTTTGGCCATGTCCAGGAATAAATACCCAGTATACTTCTTGTAGTGAATTCCTTCAGAGATGTGTTTCACAACACGATAAAGTTGATAGAATGTAGACAACCATTTCCGAAATGCAAACTTTTTTGGGATGAATATATTGTTTGCTTCCAGATGATCACATACTCTTTTGAGAATAGCTGCTTTCATAAGCTTACTTATGCAAGGAAGTAGACTAATTAGATTCGTAAGCAGGTTTATTTGGTTTGAGACTAAAGGTGATTTTAGCTGTTTTCCCCTTCTGTGGAGAGTATTGCTGTCGTTGAAAATGTTGGTCAGCTTGACTATTAACTTGAGTGGTAGCATCTTCATCACCTTGTTATTGTTTTCGTCCATACCGAGGCTATTGTTATTCTTTAAATTCTTAACATAGCCAATAACTTCCGACGGTCGGACTGTAATATATTTTTCTTTGTATTGAACCTGTACTAGTATATTAGCAGAAAAATTTTGAAACAAACTTATAATTTGAATGAATTTGGCTGTGTTACAAAAAGGTACATTAAACTTTAATCCTAGGAAAAGTTTGGAAATAACTAGAAATTTCGATAATATCTTAGAATTATCAAGTATTTGCGCGTTATGAATTACAGACAGACAGACAGACAGACAAAGTAGACAGATGTCTTGTTTCGCACCCGCTAAGACTTTCTGCACCGATGGGCGAAAAATCAAGCATAGGTGCGAAGGAAAGGTATATAGAAAGAGGGGAAATTTCGTATTTGAGGAGAGTAAAAAGGAACTTCGTACATTTTGTACGAGTTCAAAAGGCCAGAAAGAAAAGATGGGACAAAATAAAATTTAAAATAAATGGCCCAAAAATAATAGAGGGGAAAAAAAGGGCCTATAGAAAGAAAAGGAAAAGAAGTAGAAAATACCCTAATATACGATTGTGTTCATGAGTGTAGTTAAGGAGTTCATCTGCAAAAATTCGTGTCTTTAAGAAGCAAACTTTAGCTAAGTTTAAAAAAAAATAAATAAATGAATGAATTCCTACATGGTAATGTGTATGCCCTTATCTTGAGACCTAACTAGAAAAGACATATATCATCACAGAGATGTACATAATATTTTAATTAAAGTAACATTAAATATTACCGTTCCCAAAAAATTCATGTATGTTTCATAAAAATAGTAACTGCAAAATCATAAATCCATACACAGTGTGAGAGCATCTCAGCAAAAAATAAATTATACAGTTTATTTTTCTTAAATATTAGTTAAATATAAAATTAATTTATTAAGTTAACCGTTGTAATTTTTATAGTACAAGTTTAACAAATTCCGTCACACTGTATTTTTATTTTGCTCATAATTCTAAGTTTGAGACCTGAAAAAAAAAAAAAAGTCGGGGATCTTAGTTACAAAAATCACAATCTATACTCATCGATGGTCAAGAGATACCTATTTTTCCCTCTCAAGAAATTCCTAAGCACGAAAAGGGGGGTGGCCTCCGAAAGGTGTGAGTTGCTGATAAGAACGGACTACTGATAAGGAATGTGGCGTCTCTACGGAATAGTTACGAAGAAAAGAACCACATGACCTGCTACTATTAACAACTATTGTATAATGCTAGAATCTTATGAAAATAATAAATAAAGAAATTTAATGGCACTCTAGTGATAGAGAAACAGATATTGTATAGAGAACAGAATGTTACTTATCTGAATATTCCGTGTCAGGGCCTCTTTTGGATTTCTCGTGTTGATAGTGAACAGCTAACAAAACACCTGAAGTTTCGAAGAAGAGAAGTTTCCTTTTTCAATTTGATGAATGAGACATTGTGTTGCCTTGGCTACTAATGTTTAAAATTAATTTATGACTAGGAACAGCATGAATTATAAACAAATAGCTAAGTTATTGCATTTTATTTTTCGGCTATCGAAATGCGACGCTACGAGCAACGTTTTGAAACCAAAAACTCGTTATGAATTACTTTAGGACTTTGAATTGACTTTGAAAACGGTCACAGAGCATTCTAGAAAACGGACAAAATCACAATGAAAATTATCATTTGGCAGGGGTAGTGTCTTGTGCACAGGCATACTAGTACTTATCACATTCCACTGAGACACGCGGAATTGTATTTTACGTTAGAAGGTTTTCTGGACATTACTGCATTGGCCGTGGCCCGAAGAGCCCCTGCTATATAATTTTCCCTTTCCCCTCCCACGCTGTTAGGCTGAAAGACTAGCTAGAAGTGAACTGTTACTTTCGTTAATATTCTGAAAGCAGGCCCTTAAAGATCAAGAAATTAAAAAAAGTTGAGTTGCAAGTAAGGAACAATTAGTCGGTTTCAAATCATTTGTAGTTTCTTTTGAAGCAATATTCTACATAATTGATTGAGAGGTGACATTGTTATTCTAACAGTATGAAAAAGATAGTATGATCAGCTGTACTTTGGGTTTCATTCATTTTGGTCTATAAAGCGAAATTTTAATGTTCATGTGATATCTTGCACGAGTATTTAGTGAAAGAAATTTATAGGGTATAACATTGAGCAGTTATTTACTGTATTTTTTGTAGGTTCAGTGGTAGTAATTTTTGTGGTTTTGCTATTTGAGGCTAATTAGGGTGTCTTCCAAATAGCTTTAGTTGTTGGATTTAACTTTTTGGTAGAAAAATTTTCTTGGTTATTCCTGTTATTTAAGCATTGTATATCATTTTAAGGTTAGAGTAGACTGAAGGGTACCTCTTGTATTATCGCGAAGTTTTTTTTATTTTTTTTATTTATCGCCAAGTTGTTTCGTTTATCGCTAAGTTATTGTTTCATTTATGGTAACACAAGTAGTTGAATGTTTCGTAAATATACTTATTAATTATAGAATTATAGAATTGGGTGTTCCTTTCACTTTTTCAGTGAAAATATATTGATGTGAACATGGACAAAGTCAAGGGAGTGCACAATGCCAAGTTTGTACAATTCTCTGATGTTTTTTAAATGAAAACAGGTTGATGTGTACATGGATAAAGTCAAAGGAGTGTGCAATGCCTAGTTTGTGCAATTCTGTGATTTTTTTTAAGTGAAAATAGGTCAGTGTGCACATGGATACCGAGTTTGCGCAATTCTTTGACTTATTTTTTTGTCTTTGTGTAGGCCCACCAGTGGCCGAGCAGTAAAGTAGCTGAACGCTGGTAGTTCGGTCCGAGGTTAGAATGCCATGAGTGGGCTGGCTGCATGGCGTTTTCATGGTTTTCTCCCGTGTGTAACATGTATACGAGCCAGTTTCCCTTAGAAAGTCCTCCATGAAGGCATCCCTCCCCTTAGGCAGATAGCCCTCGAGGCTTTGCCATAATCTCACAGATACATTCAAACGTTGTCTTAGTGTAGTGGTGATTTTTGGTGCTAAAATCACCACTACGCAAAGCCAAAATAAGTCAAAGAATTGCGCAAACTTGGTATCCATGTACCGCCAAAAATCACCAATTTTCGCCAAGGTTTACCATATCAATCCTTCTGCCCTTTTGATCATGAAAGTTTAGAACAAGCACACTTATGTTATTTTCTCGAAAAATCTAGGAATTTCGATGAACATTGAGAATTTGTAAAATGAAATTCGCACGCACAAAAAGCATTGCTTTATAAGCATAAGAATTTTGCATGAATTAATTTCCGTTCTGATTAGGTATTTTAACATGTATGTTGTGTTAAATCTATAACCAAGTTTCAGTATTTGTTATGATAATACGTATTTTCAATCTGTATTTTTATTTATCCTTTCATATATTTTACTTTTGTTATATCATTTTCTTCCAGTTGTAATTAGAGATTCACTTTTAGATTTTCTTGTTGGAAAGCACATTATTGTATAAGTTACTAGTGTCTTACAGTACAAAGTCTGAGATCCGAACTCGTCGGGACTTCCGTGATTCCAGATTTGGGATTTATTTTTCCGGATATTAGATCATCAGTTTGAAACTAGTAAGATGGCATGTAGAAATTCTAAAATTAAAAATATTAAATCATAATTTTTGAAATAATGAAGCATTTATGATCCAAAGGGTATCAAAATTTACAAAAAAAAGCTTAATATTTATTTTTTTTACTTTATTAAACATTTCTTTCAATGTAAGTTGTTTAAGTTGCTTCGTTTTTTGTGCTAATACTTTCTCTTTAATTTTGTAGTCGGACATAATTTCTTGTTTAGTTACATTGTTCAAGTCCTGTAATTGCTGTGTCGAGAATTCCGACTAACTTGTCAATTGAAAATTTTTATTTTCAGTAACCTCTCTGTCACTTTCTTCACTATCGGTAGTGGTATTTTCTGGATCTTTCTGGTGACCTTTTGCGGTCCAGATTTTAGATCATTCTGGATGTCCGGATCTCAGACTTTGTACTGTATAAGCTGTTACTTTAAATATTAAGTAATGTGGTATTCTCATTTGAATAATTAGAAGTTTTTTTTAACTATAATTGAAGAGACTGTGCAGTAATTTTAGTAAAACATTGATGGTTTACAGACATAATGCCAAACTAAGAATACATGCATTTGTGTGACACTAACTTTTATCAATGAATATGTGAATATGTTTGTTACAAAATAACTATTTGGCCACTCCAAAAGTATTATTTTCTTCCTGTGGAACTTTAATGTAAAATCATAGTAGAGCACTAATATTTAATGGCTAAGATTATCACTATTTCTCATTTTGAAACTAAGTTTTTATTGCCATCTTTATAGAAAGGTAATCTCTGAGGTTTATGTATGCTATTATGTATTGTTCTAAGGTGTATATAAGCAGTACTTTAAAATCCTTATGAGCTAAGTAATTTTGCTTTGATCTGGACTCTTAGCAGGATATGTAAGCAGCTCCCATCTGAATTTTTGTAGAGTGATCCTTATGATGTTACTGTAAGGAAGCAAATTTCTTTTCCTATTAGCTGTTTCAGGCAGTTTGAGTAAAATGCATGAACAAAATGGATGAGTGTATCACACTCGTCTTCTGAGTTAATTTAGATGAGTTTACAATGAACTGTAATACTGGCTCAATTAAACATACAGTAAAATTAATTTTCTATAAATATCTTTCTTTTTAAAGTTCTTGTCTTTCAAAATTTGATAATCATTGTCATTTGTGATTAGCAATTTTATTTAATATCTGCTTTTAATCAGCTGTAGCAGTCCAAGAATAATTGGTACTTCTTTGTTATAGCAACGTCCAAGATTGAATTGCCAGTCAACTGATGTATCTCACCAAAATCTGGTTGCATTTTCTTATACCTCTCTGCATGATCATATATTAGCACTGGCTGGGTGTTCTTTTATCTCGCCACTTGTATATTAGCACTGTGTTGTATTTTTTGTCTCGCCATATTATTCCTATACGATTCATTTCTGATAGTTTTCGAATTCGCATTATTTATTTAAAAATTTATCCATTGCATTTTTTTGGTAAAAATATATATCAGGGTGCCCCTTGACAAAAATTGGCAATTGGCCAGCAAGGCACAGTTTCAAGATGGCCGCTACACAAAACCAAAATAACAAGTCAGAGAAGTGCGCACTACCTTAATTTTGTCCATGTATATATCGATTCATTTTCACTTTAAAAAGAAATCGGGAGAATTAGGACCTCATATAAGGTTAAAAAAAGGTTACTCATTGCCAAAATTGAGCAAAATTTATAGCTGATCGAAGCTCAATAAACTGCATTTTAAATCACACAATGAAATAACATAAAAAAGGATGTACATATTATCTCATTTACGCACTACAAAAAGGAAATATTGACTTATCTTATTTAGAACTTTCTGTGTCTTCAGTCTGTGGCACATAAATTCCTTAACAGCATCCAAAAACTTTCTAAAATTATCTAAACTAGATTATGCATATTGCCGCAGATATTAAAAAAAGAGTAAAAAAATATTCTCCATAGTGCCGGACTGCTGATGGCATTTCTTCCGAAAATCCCTTTTTATTATATTCTACAACCTTTCGATAATGTTGATACGAGCTCCGGTTTCCGGATCCATAAATGTCACTGCACGATTTACTGAGAAGTGAATGAAGCCATTATCAAAAAGACACCAGCAGTTGGCAGTATGACTTCCAGCAATTGGATATGATCGTGTTTCCAGGTAAAATATTCTGTTGAATTGCATCCAACAAAGTTTCTTTTCATCTGTCCTCGACCACTTCAAAAAAAAAAAAAAAAAGTTCCACTTTCTCGTACCAAGCACCCAGTTTACCACCAGTAGCCATTTTAAAATGCAATGCACAAAATACGCAATGTACTTCCTAACCGTCATCCTAAGCAGAAATAAGCTGTTACAAATATTTTCCCATCAGTCAAATTCACTGCAATGACTCAACCAAGCACATTGTAATAGGGTTTTCATAATATTCAACTACTCACAGAGTTTCCGACTGTCCCAATTTTCGACCGCTCTCCAGCCAACTTGATTTACAATATATTTCTCCCAACTTTTTCTTATTCTTAAAATTTCTCCCAATTTTTATGAAACTTGGCTTAGTACTTTGTTATATGAACAAAAAAAAAAGTGATTTTGGATGTCTGAAAGCAATTGAATTTTCTCTAGATTATATCTAAAAAAACCTTGCGAATCAGATGAGCAATTCTTTGTGATCGACAGCATAATATCAGAAACTTTCTCCAGTTGTCCAATGGGCATCAAGCTCCACTGCATGTCATCTGGCATATATTAGCCAATGAGCACAAAGCATGCTCAAGGCTGTGATTTGGATGTTCTTTAGTTATTTCGTTCATCTTGTCCTGAGTTGTGTGAGTACATGTACCTTCGGGAAATAGTTTTAGAATTTATCATCTTTTGCTATGTCTGCGGGAAATGTGAAATATTCGTGTACGTTTCAAAAATTGTACACGGTTGACTTTCCTTCCTTCCATTATTTCCTTAAGGAAATGTAATAAATTTGATATGTGTACCATCTGTCGTTGTGATTTTTCGATTTTGCATGGTGGAATGGCGAATGTTCTCAAACATGTGCATATACAAAAACACAGGACAACATGAGTTTTTTTGAAAAAACGAAAAATTAAATTTTTCTTTGGAAACAAAGGACAAAACGTTATTAATGCAAAATGTCTGTTCTCTGCCTTTTTACTGGAGCAAACCTGCCATGAATGCATCGGATCACGCGCAGCTTTATTAGAAAAAATTTTTCCGATAGTGAAATCACTAAGAAAGACTCAAGTGCAAGGACCAAAGCGGTGCAATTGTTAAAGAAATGGGTTGAAAATAAATCTTAGTTATTGATGCATAAAAAGCTGCATTCTGCCTATTCACGGTGGAAC